ATAAGCACAGAGAATAAATGGCAGAAACAGAGAAAGACAAGGGAGAACAAGAGAAAGTCAGAGATTGATGATTGGAGGCTCGTGAACAGGTTAAAGAGTAAAGATGAAAGCAGAGAATCGGGGGTGTGGTGCAGGAGGTCACAGGGAGTGAGATCCCCGCTGATGGGATGGCTGAGCAAAAGGAGAATCTCCACCAGGGTTTGAACCTTGTACCAGCCAGCCACATAAATAAATAGACAGACAACCAACCAAACAAACAACAAACAAATAAATAAATACAAGTATTTCCAGGTGTTCAGAAGCTCTCACAGAGACCTCAGAGATCTCAGAGCCCTGCTGGACATGTGTTCCACGCTCAGGAAGTTCTACTGAAACTATGCTGAAAGATCAGAACCTGGAGAAGAGAACCCTCACCACCAGGAGCGCCCACCTATGACCCTGCTGCCAAGATTGGACCAGAGCAACTCCAACTCACCATTTCCAGAACCTTCCACATCCCAAGGTATCAGGGTTCCCAAGGCAAGAAGCACCACAAATGGGAAGAAGCCACTGGACTTCATGGTGAAGGTGGAGAGGCTCAGATGGCCAGTGCCAAACCTCATTATTTATACCATCACAAATGGGTGTGTCCTCGTCAGAATTTTTTGGCCCCTCCCAGCTGCTATTGTCTAGGCAGCAAGCTTAGCCAGAGACCAGAAATCCTGATACCGTGGTGACAGTGGCTGTTTCCTGTTCCTGGCAAGAAGGAGGTCAACAGAGTAACTACTAGGGAAGAAAGAGAAGAAGTTTGTCTGGAAAGGGTCACCAGGCTAAAGAGGCCATCCAGGTGTCCATCTGAGCCCTGAACCCCGTGGGGGCCCTAGGTCCATCAGACTTGTAGGTGGAGAAAGGAAGAAGAGGTCAATTGTTGGGCCTTTAAAAAACCAACACCACCTGGCTGGCCCGTGGCTCACTCGGTAGAGTGCGGTGCTGATAACACCAAGGCCGCGGGTTCGGATCCCATATAGGGATGGCCGGTTCGCTCACTGGCTGAGCGTGGTGCTGACAACACCAAGTCAAGGGTTAAGATCCCCCTACCGGTCATCTTTAAAAAAAAAAAAAAACAAAAAAAACAAAAAACCAACACCACCTTAAAGTGACATTACAAGTGGATTAACGTGGCAGCCCAAGATGGCACCGGGAGGAAGCA